AGAATAATAACCCTAAATAAAAATAACAAAAATAAAAACAAAATTATGCTAGCAAAATAAAAATTGAGTTCGAATTAGTGACTCGAGAAATAAAATTAAACTAAACTCAATCCCCGACAACGGCGCCAAAAACTTGTTTGCGAAATTATTTCTTTCGATTTTAAACCACCGCAAGTGTACGGTTCATTAACAAGTAATAAAGTGGATTCAACGAGTCCGAATATCGTCCCACAGAGATTAATTAGTTCAAATTTTATCTACCTTAGCCTTAACCGAAACTAAATTACCAAATTGGATGTAGACCTAATTGAACCTCAATTATGCAATTTTTTTTCTTATGATTAAATTGAAATTTTTAATATGCAAAATAATAAATTAAAACTCGAGAATGAAATCTAAAAGTTGAGAACACACTTGTTATAATTATTGGAAATGAAATACGCTAGGATCACGAATTTCCATGCAATTATCACTTTAAATCCTAGTTTCACAATATGACAACACATTTCGATTTTGACGAATCAATGTTCCTAAATCTATCAAATACTCTCTCTCGAGATGTATCAAACCTATCTCTACATACCACTAGTCCATATTTCTATGACAAGAGCATATGTAAAAATGCATGCAATTTTATGAACATTTAAAGATTCACATAGAGCATAGCGGTATATTTCTATCCACTATCGGACCCTAAGATGATTTATAATATGTCAAATCTATTCCAATTCTCTCGAATGCAAGAATAAATCACTTAAATTCACACAATTACGAGCCTTTAATTGCGGAAACATTTAATTGCATATAAATCATTCAACATAATAGAAATTGTGTCTTACATCAAATTGCAAAACTAGAATATTAAAATTCAAATCACATGATTCATCGATCTCCTAGCATAAATAAAATCTAGCCTAGCATGCTTAAAATAACAAAATGCATCAAAGTTTGTATATAAGACATCACCGGGTTATAAAACTTGAATAAATCTTGAAGTTCTTCGTGTCAATCTTTGTTCTTGCGCTCAAATCCTCTTCAAGAGTTGTTTTTCGACCTCCAATTACGTTCTAGGTGTCTCTGGAATGTTTTTGATATTTATATCCCATGAAAAATTAGGTTACCATAGGTATTTCAATTGTATAAGGAAAGAAAATTTTCGCGCTGAATTTGTACCATGCGACCGCATGGTTTTATTTCGTGCGGCCGCATGGTAATCCTCTTTTTTTATTATAAATCCCTGCATCACTTCGTTCGACCGCACGACGTTTCTACCATGCGACCGCATGGTAGAATTGATCTTTCAGTTCCTACAATTTGATCCTTTTACTTTAATCTTCCACTTCTTTACATCTTTTCTTCATTCTTCACATTCCATCATTCCAAAATGTCATCAATTTATATTTGGCAAACTCAATTTCTTGATTTGTTCATCGTCAACTTTTGAATAATTGCACCTTGGTCCTTGAACTTTCACTTTGTGTCATTTTAGTCCTTTTTCGCGTCTTTTCTCATGTATTTCATCATGTCCATCGATGTTACCTACAATTCACAAATGTAATGAAATTAAGTTACAATTCAATCATTTTATTCGTAATTAAGTCATGTTTGTGACCTAAATAAGTGTGCAAAAACACACTTATCAGCAAGCATAAGGCAGACCAATCCGATGATCGGAAGTGCGAAGGGTATGCAGAATGTGTTGGCAAATGAAGGTAGGTGGGTCAATTGAATCCCCATGCAGTAAAGCAAAATGAAACATTGCCTTGTCCATAGGTAGGGAAGAAGTGTAGGAGACGGGCCACAGATTTGTACATACAATGCGCAACAAAATCTGGTATAAGTGGGGAGCGAACCAGTGTGGATCGCCTCATGCCCACCTCCCAATGGGCTGTTAAACAAGGTGGATCGAACCAAAGAATCGGCCGAAATAGAATCAGCCAAGAGATATGGTTAAACGGGGTGAATGACCCGAGGAACATGTATGGAACTAGAAATAACATCAGGAGAAATCCGAAGGGTTTGACCCCGGAGGAACACCCGAAAGGACGGACCACTAATGTCATGGATGTTCGCATAGAACTCCTGAACAAGAAGACTAGGCGGGGGATTTAACCCAATCAGCAAGGATTCCCAGCCTCGAGAAGTAAAGATAGCTTCCACATCAGGTGATAGGTCAGATAGAGTAACCTCACACTCTACGAGGTCAGGACGACGGGAAAACTGGCTCCCAAAGACTTCTTGAGCAGTAGAGGAAATGAACCGAGAACAACTAAATGAACCCGATCCACTACCAGGCTGAGCTGTGGTCCTAGCCCTCTTGGGCGCCATCTGCAATGCAAGATGTAGAAGATAAATCAATCCCCAAGGAAAAAGAAGTGAAGGAGACACATGACTAGACAAGCCCTAAAGAGCAATCACACACAAGCCCGTGGACTATGACTAAGACGGATGTGACGTGAACTAGACATAAACAAGGTCAAGATGAAATTTTGACACACATAAAAACTTCCAATAAATATGGAGAATTGATGAGACCTATTTCGAACAATCCTCCAAATGTAGTACAGGCAATAGTGTAGAAATGTAAGCACCGATATGGTAGGTTATTTGTGTGAACTTTGATGACTTAATAGGTGAAGAGTGCACATCACGTTATAGGAAATAAGATCAAATAAATAATGAACTCACATGTTTAGTACCGAAGACACCAATCACACGTGAGAAATGGCACACAATGGGCAAGAGAAGCAAGGCTGTGGTAAGGAGACATTTCATCGAACACATTGTATGCACAAGAAAGAGAAGCTACAAATGTAATCATGCAAGAGGCACCCAACAACCCATAACAACACCATCTACCTAGCACACCAAAAACACCCAAGTCCAAAGAAAACAAATGGCGAAAAGAAAACCAAAAAATAACCAACAACCAAACGAAAAAATCAAAGCACTTACCAAAAGGGAGGAAGGAATCACCAAGGAATGCACACAAGGAATGGGAATAGAAGCTCCACACGTGAGAAAGCAAGGGCAAGTCAACCAAAGAGTGTGGATTTGAGAGGAAAAAAAGGAGAGAGAAATGGGAAGAAATGAAATAAAAAATGAGACGGAATGGCGCGAGAAAATTAAAAGTCTCGTTGTCGCTCGAGCTAGACTCGAGCGAACAGCGAGCGACAAAGGCACTGCTTCTGTCGCTCAAACGAGATCCCAGCGACAAGCGAGCGACAGGGGAATGACAAAAATAGAACCTAAACTTGAAACGTTGAAAAGTTAGGCTCAGGTTTAAAATTTAGCAAAGTAACAGCACATTAGATATTTTCAAAAATAGAACATTTTTCAAAAATTTGAATTTAGACCCCAATTTTTTTTTTTTAAATTTAAGATGCACAAACAATGTAGAGGCAGTTGGTCCAATCAAAGCCAATAGAGCACAAAGATGACACTCACAATGATTAGAAAATGGTTACCCACACACAAGGACCAAGTACAGATAGAGTAAATTGTATATATGACCCCTCGTGAAACGTGCCACTCATTCTAAGCAAGTAAGACTCAAAACCTTAAATTTGTGAGACGAGACAACCAAATCACCGACGTAGGAGTCAACACTTAGATGTTTGAAGGTCAAATCCAATGCCACTAGGACCTATACTTCGTTGAGATATGGTGTAAAATTGTTCTTTCTCCCCCTGTCGTTAAGGACCTCAAATTTTTATTTTTATTTTTTGTTATCTTACATGCAATCCCATCTCCATTAAGCTACTAAGAAGACTCCTTTAATGAGCGTTGGGTCAGTGACTCCGAAACCAGTTGGCTTTAGGGCACCAGGTTATGAGAAACCCCTAAGACTTAATTGTTTGAGTCATCTAGGCTCCGAAGATAGGTATAAGATATGATATAATAAATACTCTGTGGAAACACTCGGGGGTACACCAAAAGTTAGGTCATCTAGTCCAAGATCAATTCAAATGCAATGTATACTCAACGACAAATGATAGCCATCCCAAGTCTCACACATGCGGTCAAGACTCACTCACACGGTCCTAGTGTGTGTTGTGCAAATATAATATGAATTGACATATACTAAGTACTCCATACAGACTCGGGATAAGTGACGGGAATTAGAAACTAATCATGTGTAGAATGCACATTTGATTTCGAATTGCAACTCCGAGGGAATAACTACAATGCAAAAAATGACATGTGATGATCAAACTCCCCTCCCCCTTTTTTATTATTATTATTTTAAGTTTATTTAAAAAAAACAGATGCAAATGAACACACAGAGGTAATTTAATGAATGCGAAAAAAAATACATGCATCTATGAAGACGATCAGGGAGGAACACAGATGCCAACAGCCTTCCTAAGTGACTCGAATCTAAACCCATCTAGAGGTTTAGTTAACCAATCGACAAGTTGATTTTCAGTAGAGATGTGTTCAAGAGAAATCACATTGGACTCAACTAGCTCTCGAATAAAGTGATGACGAATGTCAATGTGTTTGGTCCTAGAATGCTGAACCGAATTTTTTGATATGTTCATAACACTAGTATTGTCACAGAAAATAGTCATAGTAGCCTAATTTATCCCATAGTCACTCAGCATTTGCTTCATCCAAAGCAGTTGAGTGCAACAACTACCAACTGCAATGTATTTTGCCTCGGCTGTGGACAAGGAGACTGAGTTTTGTTTCTTACTCATCCAGGAGACAAGATTAGAACCAACATAGAAACATCCACCCGAGGTACCTTTTCTATCGTCGACGTTTCCGGCCCAATCGACATCAGAATAGCCGGCTAGTTCTAGATTGGACTCTCTGGAATACAAGATCCCATGATCTACTGTCCCTTTGACATATCTAATAATGCACCTCACTGTACTTAGATGGGACTCCTTAGGATCAACTTGAAATCTAGCACATACACCAACACTAAACGCTATGTCAGGTCTACTGGCAGTAAGATATAGTAAACTGCCTATCATGCTCCTATACACAATCTAATCAACACTCTTACTTGTAGGATCATGTCCTAACTTAACATTTGCGCTCATGGGTGTCCTTGTGTGTTTCTTACTGTCCAAACTAAATCTCTTCACGAGGTCTTTGGCATATTTTGATTGAAAGATAAACAGCCCACAATCAGTTTGCTTTACTTGAAGACCAAGGAAGTAACTTAGCTTCCCAACCATGCTCTTTTCAAATTCTTGTTTCATGCATTCAACAAATTCAAGAGCAAGGGAGTCAATGGGATAGCCAAAGATGATGTCATCAACATAGATATGAGCTACAGTGATAGTTTCTTCAATATGCCTAATGAATAAGGTTCTGTTAGTACCACCTCGTGAGAACCCATGCTCAACAAGGTAAGTGGTGAGTCTGTCATACCAAGCTCTAGGAGCTTGTTTCAGACCATACAGTGCTTTATTTAGTTTGTAGACATAATGAGGAAACTTAGGGTCAATGAATCCTTTCGGCTGTTCAACATACGCCTCTTATTGGAATATTCCATTCAAGAATGCACTCTTGACATCCATTTGATTTAGGTTGAACCCTAAGGTACATTCAACCATAAGAAGAATACGAATGGACTCAAGACGAGCAACTGGGAAAAAAGTCTTATCAAAATCTACCTCTTCCACCTGAGTGTACCCCTGGGCAACTAGTCTAGCCTTATTCCTAGTTATAGTACCTTGGCCATCGATTTTGTTCTTGAAAATCCACTTAGTACCTATCACATTAGAGTCATCAGGCCGAGAAACTAGATTCCAAACATCATTTCAAACGAATTGATTAAGCTCCTCATGCATGGCATTCACCCAGCATTCATCTTTAAAGGCTTTCTCTACTTTTTTGGGTTCAATCTGGGATACATAGCTAGTAAATGTTAGGTTATTTAGAACTCTCTTTCGTAACCTCATTCCTTCATCCAAATTCCCAATGATGTTAACCTAGGATGATTAGATTTGACTCTGGAAGATGGTTCTCTAGAGGGCTTAGACTGATCCCAATTTGGTAGACCCTGCTCAAATATGTTTTCTGAGGATCGTGGAGATTCTGGAATTGAGTGCTCTTTATTTTCAGCAGTGGCTCCTTGATCTTCACCTAGATCTTCTATGGCAACCCCATTTTCAGCACTCTCCCCCTCAGTAAAGTCATCATCAATAACAATATTTACAGATTCCAAGACACTCTGAGTACGCACGTTGTAAACTCGATATGCTCTACTTTCTTAGAATATCCTAGAAAAACCCCATCATCACTTTTGGAATCAAACTTGCCTAGATTTTCTCTATCACTCAGAATGTAACATTTGCTGCCAAACACCCGAAAGTATTTTAACAGTAGGCTTCTTGCCTTTCCAGATCTCATAGGGAGTCTTGTCTAATTTCGGTCTCAGGTATACCCTATTTATTATGTGGCACGCGGTGTTAATAGCTTCACCCCAGAAATGCATTGCTAGATCCTTGCCGTGAAGCATGGCCCTAGCCATTTCTTGAAGCACTCTATTCTTCCTCTCAACAACTCCATTTTGTTGTGGTGTGATTGGTGAGGAGAACTCGTGCTTAATCCCCTTCTCCAAGCAGAAGTTTTCTAGATTGAAGTTGTCAAATTCTTTTCCATGATCACTTCGAACCCTAGAAATATGAAGATTTTGTTTAATTTTGAGTCTTTTGCATAAGGACTTAACCAGATCACCCATCTCAGATTTTTCTCTTAACAGATCAATCCAGGTGAATCTAGAAAAATCATCTACCACAATTAGGATATACCGTTTGCCTCCTAGGCTCTCTACCCTAGATGGTCCCATTAAATCCATATGGAGAAGCTCTAGGGGTCTATTCATCAAGATTTCGAGGTTCGCTTATGGTTTATCCTGAGTTGCTTTCCTTGTTGACACGGCTTGCACACAGCATTATCACTTCGATCAATCTTAGGTAAACCATCAACAATCTTCTTTTTAACCAATTTAGACAGACTTCTGTAGTTAACATGACTGAGTCTTTGATGCCAAAGTTCAGACATATCAATTTTAGCACTACTGCATACATAGTTCGAGTTTGGAAGAACTCCATAATAGTTATCAGATGTTCTAACACCTTCAAGAACAACACCACCAAAAGCGTCATAAACAGTGCATCTCTTTTGGACAAAACTCACTTCATAGTCAGCATCACAGATTTGACTAATGCTCAATAAGTTGGACTTAAGGCCCTCTATATAAAGTACATTGGATATTGTAGGAAGTCCAGCAATGGTGATGGAGCCTTTGCCTCGAATGGGTGCCATAGCTCCGTCCCCAAAGTAAATACACCGCCGTTGTAGTCATCAAAGGTAGAGAATAAGGCCTTGTTACCACACATGTGTCTAGAACAAGCACTATCAAGCTACCACATGCATGTATTTTGTGCCTTATATGCAACATGAGCAACAAAACATCTTAGATTCTCAGTATACTCACCCACATCAGATTTCTTTACCCAAACTTTTCTCGAGGTTGAGGTGATCCTAGTCAACCTTGTTACCATCTCAGTTAAGTGGCTAACCTAATTTGAAAGAAAGTTCACTTGACCAAGGATATCCTGACTTCGATTCCAATTTACTAGCTTTCGACACCTAGGTCTCGTGTGGCCTAAGGCACCACAGTGATGACAAGTGGGTATGAACCTAGGTTTAAATGTACGTAAGTGTTGATTATGAAAATTAGGTGTAGAGATCTTATGAGCTCTAGTGGCCTTCAGTCCATTAAAATTTTTGTCTTTGGATTCTGGATTTGTTGAAACATTAGATCTGTTGGAAGCAAGGACAAATGTGGTCTTTGATAGACTAGACACATTGCTATCACTCTTCACAAATCCTAGACCTTGCCTATTTCCAGCTGGTTTGTTCATTCCTAACATATTGTCTAGTTTCTTTGTTCCACTCGCAAATGATTGTAGTTGAGTGTTGGATCTCTCTAATTCATAGGTCAATGTCTTGACCCGGTCCTCTAATTTCTCATTGACACACTTCAACTCACTGAGATTCTTAGATAAGACTTGAAGATCATAGGTGATCTTCTCCTTCTCTCTCTCAAGCTCATCTACCTTCTTAAATAAGGTTTTATTTACCTTTTTCATCTTGAGACTTTCCTTAAACAGGAGTTGATAAGTCTCATGTATATTTGTCTCATCCTCTGAATCATCACCGAACTTATCACTCTCCACTTCCTCCTCAACCTTCTCACTTTTCTTGTCTGACTCGCTCTTGACAGTAAATACAAAAGCCATATAGCCATTTTCCTCCTCACTACTTGAGGAATCACTTTGTTCACTTAAATTAGAATCATCATCAATCAAGGACACAGTTGATGCCTTCCTACTCCCCTTCTTTAGATTTTTCTTAAAGCTAGGACATTCATTTCTATAGTGCCCAAATCCCTGACATTCATGATACCTAACCCCTTGAGATTTCTTACCAGGGTTTCCAGTAGTTGATTTATCATCCTTATCTCTTTGCAATTTGCTAGGGACTCCTCTCCTTTTCTCTTGAGGCCATTTTTTGCCCTTTAAGACTTTTTGAAATTTTTTCATAAAGTAGGCAATCTTCTCATCTCTAAGAGTTTCCATGTCAGATGATTCAGACTCCCCTTCCCTAACAGTGTTTAGGGCTATGGACTTATTTTTTCTTGGTTGTAAAATGGTGAGTTCATAGGTTTGAAGGGATCCTACGAGTTCTTATATCTTAATTGTATCCAGATCCTTGCTTTCTTCAATAGCTGTAACTTTAGGTCTAAATCTCTCGGGCAAGGATCTAAGAACCTTCCTCACAATTTTGGGCTCGGGAATCTTCTCACCTAGGTTGAAACTAGAGTTAACAATGTCATTCAATTTGGCATAGAACTCATCAAAAGATTCATCATCCTTCATCCTGATTTCTTCAAACCTTGAGGTTAGCATTTGTAATTTTGAATTTTTTACGATTTTAGTTCCCTCATGCGTAGTCTCTAGAATGTCCCATACCTCTTTAGCAGTTTCACACATTGATACTTTCCTAAATTCTTCGGGAGACACGGACATAAACAAGGCATGAAGTCCTTTGCTATTCCAATTGTAATCAGCTAATTTTTCCTTAGTCCAAAGTGAAATATCAATTAGATTGACAACACCTGACACAGTTGTGTAAGGGGGTTTCCAATCATTTTGTACGCTCACCCAAACATGTTCATCTAAGGACTTAAGAAAAGCACGCATCCTAACCTTCCAGTAGGCATAGTTGCTTCCGTCGAAATGCGGAGGAACGGACACTGATTGACTCATCTAGACAACGAAGGGTTAAGACTCGAGTTTTGGATCTAATACCACTTGAAATATCGTAGTTCGACCTAATCAACACCTAAGGGGGGTGAATAGGTGTTTATGCGAAAATTTCTTTTTCAATCAATTAATAATTGCAACACGTCACAAAAATTATTTTGTCCAGATCCGTTCACATGCTTTACTATCCTATGTTTGAATACCGGTCATAAATTAATTGCAGAAATATAAATAACACAATTGTTTGATGACGGAGAAACCGCAATGTGGGTAAAACTCAAGGCCCAAACCAGTAGGAATCCACTATAAATGTAAATGAAACTTACAATCAGCCAGACTCAACCTACACTGATTTTTCTGACATCCTGACCATAGTTTCCTCAAGCCCTTCCTGGAATGTGTGATCCTACACCAACTCCCGGCACCTACCCCTCCTGGATTGCATGCTATACCAATTCCCAAGTCTTGATTTTGTCTATCTCTTGTGGATTCAAGAGAACCGCCTGTTCTCTAATGATCGGGACTCCGATCTCCTTCCTCGATCTCCAAAAATCAACAAAGGCACTAGAAGATTGTGTTGTGGTGTTTGATGAATGTTGATTGGATCATTTTCATGTAATTGATCAAATCAAATATAGGGTAGAATTAGAAAGTTAAAATGTAGGAGAGTTTTCTTCAATTTCAATACTTTCAAAGCACATTACGAAATCGGCGCAGTTTTTCTCATGTATATTTCTTTTTGGTATTTCTGGTCGGGTTAAGATGTCAAAAAAAGGAAAATAGGGTTTTATGGGTAACACTGTCACTCGAGCGACAAGCGAGCGACGCTGTTTCGCTCGAGCGAAATGGGGGCGAGAAGGGAGCGACGACCATTCTATTTTTGTCGCTCGAGCGACCACTTGGCGAGCAGCTAGCGAAACTTCGATGACACATCTTGCCCTACTTCATAGCTCAAACCCTACCACACTTTGCCAAAATTGCAACTAAGTCCTCATCTTTTACACATGTGCACAATGACCCCTAACCTTTAATAATTGACAAATTGACCCCCAAACTTTTGAGCATTTACACTTTACCCTTTTGTTCACAGAATAGCCAACACAAAATCTAACACAATTAACACAACTTGAATTTCATAATAAACTCATTGTTTCATAATTCTTTCATGTTGTGTAAACAAAATATATCATGCTCTAATAATTTTAATGCAATCGGATAATATAATCACATCGTACATGTGCAATATGCGAATATGATTCTCGAAATCAAAATTAATAACATTTACTTTCTAAAAATTATATATGCAAAATTAAATTTCATGTAAAATTCAATAGAATATAATCAAGCAAAAAAAGTAAAATTCCCTTGCTATTTCTGATACGAAAACAGAAGATAAATGAAAAAAGAATAAAGAATAAACTAGAAATAAAATGAGATATGTCTTAATATAAATTTATATTCATTTAACCAAAAATGTGTGCATGCAAATAAGATAAAAATTGGAACTTACTAGTACAAAATATTGGATAGAGTTTCAACTTACCGAAACTAAGATACGTGCATAAAAAAATATGCAAAACGGCGACTTACTGAAATGTAGAAAATACATAAATTAGAAAGAAATGAAATAAAGCGAGATATACAAATGCAAATCTTCTTTAAAAAAATTTCGCCACTTGCTATGGTGGTAACATAATATGGACATTTGTCTTCTAAGATATAACACTTCTTCCAAAATTAATATTTGATAATATTCCTCACGAAGAGAATAAACACAAACTAAAATTGCTTGAGCGAAACTTTATACTCGAGAATTATTTGGATGAAAATTAATTTCAGCAAAATAATAGTAACATAATATTTTGAATAGAGGAGATATTTTAGAAATCAATTTTTTAAATTGATTGGATGTAGGAAATATGGAATTGGAGTCCCTATTTATATACATTCAAGTGACTTTTCGGAATTGTTGAATTTTGATATAGATTCATGTGCATCATTAGATCACACATTTTCAAATCTAATGGTATAGATTGCACCTTATCAAAATCCCACAACTTTTTATAATGTAAATTTTTTGAATCGTCACACCCAATTCGAAACAACATAACTCTTTGATATACACCATTTGTATTTGAAGAGTCGTGACTACCAATTGAAAACTTTTTCAGTTGATATATATTCATAATTATCCCTTAAATTCCAAGAGTATTACAAAAGGTATAATACTTCTGTCAAAAAAAAGTGAAACAAAGGTGTAAAAAAGGTACAATGGTATTTAGGAAATAGTAGGGATGTAAGCAAAAATTGTTAAATCGAAAAATCGAATAGAAACCGCATTTTAGAAACCATCAGTTTGGTGCTACGTGAACCCATCAACGAAACTATTTTGAACCAATAGGTTTGAGAATTTTAATTGCGGTTTAAAATCAAACCAAACTGGTGAAAAAATATATAAATATAAAAAATAAAAATGATTTTTTATTTTAAATTCATCCAAATATGGAAAATACAA